TTCATCACAATCACCTTCACTTGCTGCACACACAGCTTTTAAATCATTGAAAAGGCTTCAAACCTTTTCTTGCACTAAAACCTAAAACCTAACACAATCCATTGCCATTGAGTAGATTCCAACAAATAGTGGCCCTATAGGACAAGGAAGAACTGCCCCATAGGGTTTCCAAGGCTGTAAATCTTTGCGGAAGCAGACTGCCTCATCTTTCTCCCATGGAGCAGCTGGTAAGTTCCAGCTGCAGACCTTTGGTTAGCAGTTGAGTGTCTTAACCACTACGCCACCAGAGCTCCTTCTCTTGCACTTAAGTAAGGCTAAATAAGAACCTTTTGCACCTGCTCCAACTTACCTACAAATTCTTAAAGACACAGTTTGGAATGGAGCTCCTTCATACCCCAGGGACTGCCTGTATTTAGATTGCTACTGCTTTATTCCTCACCTAAGGACTCCAAAAAATCTTAACAAATGCTCCCAAATTAACTTTTAAAATGGGAATAGGAGGGTGTAGATTAAGAATATGTGCATAATAGCATTTCTTCCCAAACCAGCTGGGCAAATCACACTCTTTCTCGGATTTCTAGAAGTACTGCCACATCCGCCTGGCAGGCTCCAAGGATCCTCGGGCCTATTTCAAGACCAAGACATGGTGGCTGGGCCTGTTCCTGATGCTGCTGGGTGAGCTTGGTGTGTTTGCCTCCTATGCCTTCGCTCCACTCTCCTTGATCGTGCCTCTCAGCGCAGTCTCCGTGATAGGTAAGACCAATGCCTCACTCCACCTCTTCTCCAGGACTCACTGCCTGTGTGACCAGGTGTCATCACCAGAGTCAAAGATACTCATTAAACCAGTTCTTGCACTGATGATAATAGCTAACACACAACTTCATGTACACCAGGCCCTATCTTAAGGTATGGATATTAATTCACCTATTCCAACAATCTTATGAGGAAGGTACTGTTATTATCCTATTTTACAGATGAGGAAACTGAGGCCCAGAGAGGTGAAGTTACTTACCCAAAGTCACACAGCTAGTGAGTGGCAAAAAAAAAAAAAAA